AACTTGAAAGTTTTCTCCCCAATCACAATTCCCATAACATTTTGTTCATTTTTTTTCAAAAATCCTCTCGACCTACCTCACTCACATATGGTTGATCACTAATCAAAACATTACTTTGCGCAATCGAAATCTGTGCGACTTCCATGTTATTGTACTGATGCAACAATAGAATCATGTGAAATATGCATGGCGACTTTGGCCGGCGAACTGAGGTCAATTTAACATCATTGTTAAAAGCATCTATTGTTAAATGTACCGAGGCAGTAGCAACCGAGAAAACAAAATAGTTGAATGAATTTAGTTGGACAACGAGACGATACTGCACACACATTCCCTCACAGTGATTGATAGGCAGTAACGAAAGCGACTCTACTATTTGACCCGAGTTATCATAACCCCGGAAGAACAAGAACGCACATGCGCAAGGCTAATTAGCATAATTTATTTGGATGGATAAACAACAGGCATGGCCATTGCGTTGTTCCAGTTACATGCGTATTTATCGATATTTATAGGAGTTCAAAGTGAATAAATATCTATACTAAATAACAAGTGAGTCAGTGTTCTCCACAAGGGGTTTTAGGTGGGCGGCCCGCCCATCAAGTTTTACGGCCGCCTAGTAACTCTCAACACCCGCCCACCAACATACATCCAGCTGAAATTATTTGTAAAAAGCTTGCATTGTTCTTCCCAAGCCTAAACAAAAGAGTAGTTGCCCAACCCTTTATTTTGCTATTGTTTCAAGAGTCCAAACATAAACAATGACCACTGGAAGTCTGCAAGCAGTTATCAAGTGTATTCATGGCAATGTGTCAATCGCCTGAATTCATTGCCGCCCGACATTGTTGCCACTAATTGCTCACGATACCCAACTACAGTGGTGTCAATTTTCAGCTGTATTTTTAATAATCGTCTTCTGATCACGAAAGAAAGAAGTAAATACGAACGAAATGTATATGCACAGAAAATAAAGAAATATATTAGCAGATTGCATGTAAACAAAAATTAAAATTCGAGCCGTATTTACAACGTTTGTTTCATCGTGAAAACAGTATGGAGAAGGCAAACTGGTGACCTTTTGATCTACCCCATTCAACAACCATCGGCCACCCACCGCTGTTGGCGCTGTAACGATTTAGTATCTAAGTTGCACAGGGGAACAGCGCATTCTGGGTGTTCATGTACTGAATTCGGAAAGCGGTAATAAACATCAAACATGGCTGCCGGATTAGTTTACTGCAAGTATTTGTAATTGAATAATATTTCCCACATACTTTTTTCAATTTATCCATTTTTTTATGTCTAATTTTTCGAGAACATAGCAGATTCTTTTATTTTGCCGATTGCTAGCACTTTTTCTTGAATTCCAAAACAACGTGTGAAAACGCAACGCAACGTATCGTGACTGTACATGCGTAAATGCATCTCACCGTCAGTTGGCACGGGTGAATACTGATGCCACAAATATAAAATGTTATGAGTTTTATTTTGACAAATCGTTCGTTTTGGCGACAAATCACCTAGTATATTTTCTACATAAATGTTTTGTACTTGCTCTTGGTTACTCAAATTGCATTTCATGAACGCAGAATAATTTGCGAACGTATAAATCACCGATTTCAAACTTTTTGCATTTCGTAACTATTAATAGTGACCAATCTGTTTGTATTTCAAAAAATTGTAACACGTTTCAATTAAATTAAAAAGAGAATAGTAAATAACTTAGTGTGTATTGCAGTTCATGACATAAATGCTAGAATGCTGTATGTAAATGATATGCAAATTATTATGCAAATTTATGCTAATTAGGCCACCCACCAGCTATTTTGGATTGTGGAGAACACTGTGAGTTGTTATATTTTTTTTTGTTGGTAATCGATTCGATCAGGGATTTACCGTTCCGATTCACCCCAGCCACATGCATAGGTACCGTGACTGTGTCCCGGCGACTCACAAAACTTTTGTGGATCGTCATCGTTGTGGTTGCTCGATTCATTCATTGAACAAAATTGTAAGTTATTCCCATGGTATACATATTTCAACAAAACATTAATGACAGCATGTTTTTTATCAAGACACTTTTAAATTCTTAATTATGTTTTTGGCGTTCCATAACCATCGGTACGGTGTGCTTGCCGTGGTAAACTGAATTATAAACAAGAATAAAACATCGGTTGAATGAAAGGTGTGAAAACGTGCTAACTTTGTCCTTTGTGAGCTTATTAGTTGTCTGAGATGGAAGGCAGTAGTCTGCAAGACATCCGGGAACTATGTCCGTTATATGCAGTTCAACTGATCACTGCGGCCGCTGAAGCGTGGCCATTGGCTGCTTTAGGCAGGTGGCCGCTATAAACAGGGTACTTTACATGTAAAACTCGTAGGGACTGTTCGGTTGTGACCGCTATAGGCCGGTGGCCGCTGTATCCAGGTGGCCGTTAACACAGGTTTGACTGTACTACATGTTTTGATGTAAATAAACAATCTGTTGTATACGCCACTTGGAACTCAAGTTTCAAGGACACGCTCGCGACAATCCCTCCGCTTTAATATGACAAGCACAAAGAGAATTTCAAAAATTTAACGGGGACTGTGCCATTTTCAATGATTTGTTTTTTTTGTCATCATCATTGTATTCGTTATCTTCTATTGGGACCAAAACACAAACCACATGGAAATCACAATATCGTGACTGCCATGTTTTTAGTATTAGCCACTGACACAATGTACACATATTTAGACCTTTTTAGCTCCGCTGTCGAATTTGTCGAGCGGAGCTTATCATATGAGTGATTGTCCATCTGCGTACGTCGTCATTCGTGTCAATGTTTTACTTTTTCAACTTCTTCTTGAAAACTACAAGCCTGGATGCTTTGATACTTGGTGTATATGTATCTTGGGTAGGCCTTTCTTGGATTTTTTCATTTCATGATGATATCTTCAATTGTCTAATTTTGATGAATATACTGTTAGACATACTGTTCATTTTTTAATGATATTTTTTGTTCTTTAATTGAAATGTGCATTGCTAACAGCGGAACTATCTCAGCCGACAGGCTGCTTGTTTAAATCAAGGATTGTCTTCCTGTCATCAATTATAATAGTTTGAATTTAGATGACTGTATGCACAGCGTGCACATATCCAACCCTGTTGTACAAAATGTACAGTAAAACATAAAAATAATGATTGAATCGTCTTTATCATTAATTTAAGTATGTCTTCCATTTTCAGATACCATGTAAACATGTAGTTTGCTTTGATTGTGCCAAAAGGACTGATAAAAACTGTCCCAGGTAAGCAACCTTATTGCCACAATATTCAGTTATAAATCCTTTTTACAGATTTACACTATTAACATTTCAGTTTTTTACACAACTGTTTAGTGGATTGAGAAATCCAACTAGAAGCATGATCATAGTCTAGACACAAGTCAGCCTTGGATAACAGTTGGAGCCTGGACATGAAGTATTCCGATTGAATGAGCATCGGTGGGTGTACAGGTATTTTGAGGAAGGAGGGGGCAAATATCATTTTCTGATGTGTGCATGTTACTTCTACTTGATTTTTTTCTACAACCTAAATAACAATCTACCGGTAATTTCAGGTTGGTAATAATCAGTTTTGTGAAAGTTTAATTTGCTATTGGAAAACAATTCAATCCAAATGTTATCTTTTGATAGTGTGTATACTGCAACACCCAAATCACCCAAGTTCTTTATTGAAAAAAGGTTATTCCACTTTCAAGTTCCACCATAAGTGAAAACACATGCGGGGGGTCATTATACTTCCGGTTCAACAGTCATACTGTGGAGAAACATACTTGACTGACTTTTGATAGATCTGTATTATTTTAAACTGAATGTTCATACCCAAATGTTTTGTTGAGAAACAATTCATAATAGATTCTGTTTTGAATTTCTAATTTATTTTGCTTTTTATTGGCCCTGCTGTTGACTTTGTCGAACGGAGCTTATCGTATGAGTGATTGTCCGTCGTCGGCTGTGTCAATGTTTTACTTTTTGGACTTCTTCTTGAAAACTACAAGCATGAATGCTTTGATACTTGATGTATATGTACCTTTGGTAGATCCTCTTAGATTTGTTCATTTCATGATGATATCTTCAATTCTCTAATTTTGGTGAATATTTTTGTTATTTTTGGTAAAAAGTGATACTTTCGACTTCTTGTTAAAAACCGCAATTCCAATTGCTTTGATATTATATATATATAGGTAGTACATGTGGTCCTCTCTCAGATTTGTTCATTTCATGATGATATCTTCAATTCTCTAATTTTGATAAATATTTTTGTAATTTTTGGTAAAAAGTGATATTCTCGACTTCTTGCTAAAAACAGCAAGTCTACATATTGTTCATTTTCTAATGATATCTTCTGTTCTTTAATTGAAATGTGCATTGGTAACAGCGGAGCTATCTCAGCCGACAAGCTGCTTGTTTGTTTTTAATGTTCTGTATCCAGATAGTCTAAGCTTGTATTAATTAAAGAGTGAATAAAATGGCTTATAAGCATCTCTTACGGTCAAACCTTCTAAAACTGTAGGGTAGTATGGACTCACCATTCATTGATGTACCATGTCTTTGTCATTCATCAATCTTTCATGCACTATTCAAAACATCAAAGTCTCTGATGTATGAAAAGCTGCTGCTGTCCAAAAACAATAACTCACAATACTTGTACAAAGGCAATCATGCTATTTTGTGGATCTTTCTGATCACCCTGTTTGTGTATTAGTTGTAGAATTTGATAAAGGAGAAATCATCAGGTGACATCAGAAACACGATCAGATTTTAAACTACGATACATGTTAAGAATTTGTGTGGAGTAGAGGAAATTTGAATTATAGTGAACATTACATTTGTATATTCATAGGTGTGGTGATACAGTCCTGCGAATTGAGCAATCACATCTGGGAAGCATCTTTGTTTGTACATATGGTACCAGTAAGCATGGAAACTCTGGATGTAGAAGGACTTACCTCTCTCAGCGAGACTTGCAAGCTCATATTAACCATCGTCATAATCGCCCAGCACAGACTGAAAGCATTCCTCCACCTGCAGTTCAGGAACGTCCTGTGGCTGATCAACGATATATAAGTCCTCATGAATCTTATCGTACTCCACCTCCACCACAGAGAGTTATGCGAGAATCCCATGCCATGTATGCTAATACCTCTGAGGAGAGAAAAGATCACACTCTGCCTTCAACTTCTTACCAATCTACAATTCCAGTTGTTACTGGAGGAAGAACAAGTAATTTGATCACTGTTCCAATTCATGACGGTGACAAGGACTACAGAGACGACAAAGCACAACTTAGGGGAGGGCCCCCTCCTGTGCAGCTTCCTCCCCATCCAATTCATTATCCTGGACAACCAACTTCTGCGCCTCCACCTCCTGGACCACCTCTGCCTCAACATGCTTACCCTCCCCCACAGAATAACTATCCATCCACCTCACTGGGTGGACCTCCAATGTCATACTCAGGACCTCCTCCATCGGTGCCGGTACCTCCACATTTTACCACAGCACCAATTCATCATGGACATCCTGGACCCCCACCACCTCGTTTTGAAGGTGGCCCTCCTGTTAGGTACAGTTCAAGTCCAAGACCTCCATATGATGATGAAAGAGACAGCTTAAGTCCCCCATTTACTAGCCCTGGAGGACATAGTCCTAGACCAGGTGGTTGGCCTATTAGTGGACCACCACCTCCTCCTCCCCCTAGAGTACCTCCACCATCCAGGCCAATGCCTGTACCAGGACCTAGAATGCCACACTCAGCTGCTGGACCCCCACTTGAAATGGGTCCTCCTCCAATGATACCTTCAGACAAACCTGTGTATGGTAACAGAACATATTACCAATAAGAAAATGTCTTCAGAATTTTTTTTTTTCCAAGAAAAAATAACTTGTAAATTTAAAACATTTATAAAATACTTTGCTGACAATGTATACATATTATTCAAGAGAATTGGACAAATCGATTTGAATGTGGATTATTGTGGAGACAATATATTGACTGATTAATGCAATTAATGTCTTTGTCGGAGAATAATGTCTATTCATTACAAGTAATCACTGTCATGCAAATTGTATCAAATATGAGAAATTGAATACATGATCCAGTTAGACTTCATTGTGTATTTTTTGTTGAGCTTTATGCCCACCATCTAGATTTACGAGGAGCTTGTTGCATCCTCCCCTAGCATTATTAAGCAGTTTATCCATTAGTATTAATCCAATACTACTCACAGTACTGGTACAGGATTTTTGTTCACTTTCTCTTTCTGGGCACAAACACAGGGAATCATATTAATGCATAATTCAAGGTTTTCAATCACATAAATTGTGCGAGATAATGTCTGGAAATTGAAGTGACATTTAAACAAATCTTGGAACATTGTGCATAAACTATCCTCACTAATAAAACTTTCCACATGGTTGTAATGTTTCACTCTATGTGCATTCCATGCACCACAAATATTGTGCCTTTCACCCCCCCCCCCCCCCCATAAAATAAGAATTCTATCTCAAATGATTAAAATGAAACATTTCTGGTGTAATCCAAATCTTCAACAGATTATTAGCTTGACAGACCCCACTGTTTGGAGCACCATGGAGAGCGCAACTCGCATGACCTTGTCAGGCTAACAGATGATTTTCTCAGTTATTTTGGATAGGCTTCGTTCAAAGTTGGCTAAAAACACTTCTACATTTCACTATTCAGAAATGTATGGTTTCAAAATCTGGGAAACTTAATTACTGACTTGTATGTTCTTGTTTGCTAGAGTTTTAATTATCTGATGGTGCACATCACCTTCAATTATGGGTAATAGGCAATGTGTGCTTCACATAACATTGCAATAAAAAACTAAGTCTGGTTACTCAAGAAAAGCGCAGTGTGATGTGTTTCAATTCTGTCTTTGATTTGTTTTATCATATTTGAAAGGCATATGGCAAGATGTAATGATGTCTATTTTGAAGTTTGCAAGATAATATCTGCATCAACAGTCATGAAGTAAATTTAAAATTGCTATTGTAACATGTACTTTATTTTAAGCTGTTGGTTTCCAGATGTTTGATATTCCTTCAGTTACTTGAGAGGTGGGTCTTGAAGGAAAAAAATAAAATTATGGCTTAATAAATGACTGGCACAAACATAAATGTTGTTGCCAATTATTTTTTTTTCAATTATGTTTATAAAATACTATAGAATACTTTATTTTCGATTGGAATTAATTTTTCACTATATTCACTGAAAGGATGATTCAGTAAAAATAAAAAAAAAACATGGAATATACCTTTTTTTCTATATTTTACATTAAACTCAAAAATTAGTGAAAAACATTCCATACAAAACTCTCAAAGTCTTTTCAGTTAAAATGAATTCCAGTTATAATAAAGAATTTTACAGTACTGTAAATTAACTGTAGTAAAATATTTTTTATGATCACTATCAATTAGATCTAACCTCAGACAAGTAATAAATTGTATTACCGTACTAGTCTCAGGTCTAACATGTAGGCATGAGTAGCGCCCTCACTGGCAGAACGGCATCGGACCTCGCTAACGCTTGCCAGTATAGTGTATGGCTCGTCGACATGACCAGTACTGAGAATTCGCAAAGTTCACGTCTTGCAATGAATATTCATTTTGGTGGTCATGGTGTTTGCATTGTTGGCAAAAATCAGACCGTTTTCAACAAGATGATTAACATTGGGTGGAAGCATCACACAAGTCAACAAACAAGCTCTGTTGCGAATGGTTACACTTTGATACCTGTCACTATCTGGCGTTCCTGCAATTTGATTGGTACCAACAAAAAATGTTTGGGAAGTGTAAAACTACATTGTCAGGGGTGTGTTGGGTTTGGAGCACCGTAGAGGGTGCAAGTTTGTCAGGCAATATTTCAATGTGCAATTTTCTGTTGCATCAATGACTAGCCAGTGAATAAGCATGAATATTTGTGTTGCAGAAAAATGTCTGACGCATCATATCGGCTTAGAGGGCACATCGTCCACCATGACACTTGCATCTTTGTTGGAAAGCACGTAGTGGTCTGAAGCAATGCACACAAAGCGGGATGGCGTAGATATCGTACAGATAATAGATGCATTAAGTGTACTAGCGGGTATCCCTGGCGGACAATGTTTCTCCATGGAATCAGTATTATGCGTATTTATTTCACCAGAGTTTAGTGTATTCCGTCACTTTCTGTAGGATTACTTTTATTACAATCATACCGGTAATCAAAGTAAATTACCTAAAACACAAAATGTAATCTTTATGCTATAAAAACTTGTGAACATGAGACATACTTCTTCATGTTTGCAAATATGAAACATAAACTTAAATGTAGTTCAGACTTTGTAATTCTTCTGTATTCAGTTCAGACTTTAAGTGCAATTTCACTTTGAACAAATTATAACTTTACTGACTTCGACATTCTGTGTTCAACACTGTTTTTAATTCTCCACAGTAATTCAAAACAATATGTGTAAAAAGCTTTTGACAAAATATCTGGCAGAACATGCAATTGGGAGATTCTGGTGGAATCATTCAAAAATACGAAAAGCAAAAAAATACTGAGTTTCAAAGTAAATTTCCCCCTAAAATACGTTAACAACAGCTTGATGGAAGCTTTATGATGCTGTACTTGACAAGATATTTATAACGTGCCCAATCTTTCAATTGTTTTTTTCAAAAACATTTTGGGAGACGGAGAGAACAGATTTACCACGAATGTATTGAAAAGATAAACTGTTGCTATGGTTATACAGACGATCAGTACACAATGTGTATTCATAACAGTCGTGATGAAATATTGATTTTGTATTCATTACATCGTAACGATCCAGAATTAAACCGTACATTATTTAGTGATGTTACTTTATTTACACGTAAGGGCTTGCTACTGGAAAACGTTTGATGACTATTGTTATTGACAAGTTAAATGGCTCGACATGGACTAACAACTTTCAAACGCTGACAATTTAATCCCGAAATTGTGTAGATAACTGTTTCCAATAGTAGTGCAAGTTTCAAACCACCATTTCGACCATCTTCGCCAGCCAAGGCTTATTTATTCGGCCGTCGCTCACCATTACAGACGGCCATGGATGGTCGTATTTAATGCATTTTGATAGTCACAATACAGAATCTTCCAGTTTTGTGACTACAAATAAATTCATAACGCGCATCATCGTGTCGCTTTCCCATAATTAAATAAGAGACCGAAACAGCGAACTTGCAGTATTAAGAGCAGAAAACGAAAGTATCATTTGCGTATTGCCCAATAAAGATGACTGCTTTTTTATTTTTTGGATATTCCCAAATTACGAACATTATTTGAAATAAGCATGACATAGTAATACATCCTGTCACAGCGTATAGTATAAGAACTTGATCGATGAAACGCCTTGCTTTATCAAATCTATTACTATTACAACCTACACATTATTTGAAAGTTTAGAAATAGAACACATCAGTAAGAGATTACCTGACGGATAATTTTGCCATTGTCGTGTTTTCATTATTGAGAATAAACTGTGAAATGGCACGAAACTTTCGTGTGCAACAATCCGTTGCACACTGTACATGTATGCAGTGTAATTAGAAAACAAAGCACAGACAAAAATCTCGAGACGCAGCTTACTTGTAACGAAAACTGCTCACAAAAAACAACACCCTGTCTCTCGTCCGCTCTTTGGCCCTCTTACAAAGAACAATGCCAACTTTGTATTTTGTATCCGATCAAATAACCATGGTTTAGCAAGAGGAACTGGTCTCAAAGTAAAATCCACTAGGGGACGCCGCGCGGAAAATCACGAAAGGAACAGAAAGTTGAATTAGTTGTAAACTCGACACTGAGAATAATATGCTGGGAGCAAGTTATTGGCTTTCTCTTCCTTCCAAAGAAAAAGGCCCAGAAAAAAACGAGTAAAATATGATAAAATACCCTGTTTCATGAGCCGGTGAAAATATACTTACTAATGGTGTTGAAACTTGAAACTAACAAATGCATTTTAATTTTTGATATTGAAGACGCAGATGAATTGAACCATTCAAACCTACATCATCAAAACAATGACAGTTTATTCTTGTACATGTCATACGCCGATGTGTCAATAACTAAAGTCAGATTAAAAAAAACACATTTATATACAGTCAACTCGTTCACTAGGAGGTAACAACATTAATGCAGATCTATAAAATACCACACTGGAAAGTTTTCAAGTTGAACTATTTCTCGACATACTGTATATACTAATTGTCCTAAATCCTAGACATGAGTGGCGTTCACGTTAGATATGATAAAACATTGTTAAAACATGTGACGTACGATGTGATGTCGTAATTATTTGAAACTTGGCAACACGCAGAACACTTACTGATAATTCAGATTAAATAAAGTGATAATGATTGCTAACTGTGGGTATCTTTGATCTCAGACTAGTAATGAGCTTTGATCCATATGTATGACGTGTGGGTCTATTGTTTCTCTTATCTACCGGGGCTATCAAAATTTGGTCGTTCTTTCGATTTGCTACCGTTATAAATATATCATCGTATTCTATAAATATATTATTCTATTGTTCACAAAACTAAGATAAGAACACATGGTTATCACACTATTTGGCGCACGAAAAATGGGTCAATATTCCAGAAAAATTACGATTTCAGTAGTTTCCATGCCAAAGTTTGGTTACTAAAGTAAAACAATAATTTATGGATGAAATCGGTTTTAAAGAAGTCTATCTCGAACTCACTTATATGTTTATTTATCACAATAATATCAATAATAATAATTGTTGAGTAGATGCCAATTTATTATTGCATTGTGTCGAGGTGACCGAAACGAGCACCCCTGGACCACTAATAGAATGTTCCAAAATTTGCATATAACCTTTGACCGCAAACATGACATTCTGATTGGTCTTTGATGCTCACGTCATTGAAACGTAGTAAATATTTTAAATAGGACGCAGAGTGTTGCGGCGACCTTTGGGTTGTACACTTTATTTTGTTGTTATATAATTATCTCTCCATAATCGGCGAGAATTTGAGTGATGCCATAACGTATTAATACATTCCTTCCTAAATATTTCAATGTATGGCGCGGAATGCGACTGAGTCGCTTTGCCGGCGCAATCCAAAGCTCGACACCTTCTTGAAGCGAAAGCTCTCCGCTAATGTTTATGACAGGATCAGAGCTTACGAGGAATGTATCATCAGTTCGGAAAAGGAAAAAAGGGCATTTAAGCATGTTGTACTGAGCGATGAACGCATATACCTGACAGAGAATCCTCCGAAGAATATCACGGAGGACGATTCGGTGCCTCTGGAGGAAATCACTTCAGTTGAAATGGTAAGTGATGTGTTTTATTTGGAAATAATTTCACTGCCTTCGGCACACCGGCATAACGATGAACTAGAAAATAGAATTTTGCGACAGTTAGGGGTTACACGGTTTTGATCTACGAATTTTTGTTAGGACCGTCTCTTACACGTAAACATATACAACGTAGTTAGCATATATTTTAACTGAATTTTCTGTGAGACATGCAGTTTTAGCAGACTTCCACTGTTGAACGTCTGTGTTGGTGTCTACTTTTTTTTTATACCCGAGGTTGTACCCCGGAAGCTTAACTCGCCAACGAGTAGGGGCGGGTCATGTTTGTGGCGTTCTCCTGGCTGCCTAGCAGCCGACATTAAATTGTTGTTTATCTGTATATATGTACTACCTAACATTTTGAAGGGTCAAACAGTGAGAAGTTTTTCAATGCTACGTCTATAGTGTTCTACAACTGTGGACTACGATCTTTTGTAGTACTGTTCAGTCTAAAACATGGCGGTCATTTCTAATGAATAATGTTGAAATTGTTTACTGTGGCAAAACACAGGCAAAACAATAGTTCACTGGTAATTAACATTGACACTGGCTATCTGCTATTTATCAACAATATTGTACAACTTTGAATTTACAGCGTAATTATCGACCAGGCAGTAATTTACAGCTACCTGTTGTATATTTAATTTTTTCATGTCCTTTTAATAACCTTTGACTTATTTGTCTCTTTAATTTCCCAAATCTCGCGTCAAAGGTGTAAAATAAATGCAAGTAAAAAAGGCATGGCAACCAGTCAATCAAGTGTCTTTTTTATGCATTTTAATAACATCTCATATTCTGAAATTCTGAGGCTACTGCAAAAACGTGATAATCGTCTTGTAAATTTGTAAAAATAGGACATTCAAATAAAGCATTCAAATACGAAAAAAACACAATGATCACCAACACCAACATTCAAACCACTATAAAGTTTATAAGGAACACTGATTGGTTGATAAAAAAAAGTTGGTGCTCACCAGCCTAATATGGCTGTATTTTGGTGGATATTTTATCACGAAAATGCTTTCACTGTAGGCCTCTATGGCAGAGATATTACCCGGTATATCATATCCCAAATAGTACAGGTAGGCTGAAAAATCATATATTGTGAATGATAGGGTCCTTTTTGTTGTCCTGCATTATTTCAGTTTTTCTTTAATATGGTGCTCTATTGTATTGTTCTAAAATCAGTGATTTCTCAAACATTAGTACCTTCCGGCCATGCTGTAACACACAAAAGACTGGTATTTCATGGTGCCATGGGACAATTACTGCATCATTTTACATAATAAATCAATGAACATTGTCATGTGATTTATGACCAATTTTCTTAAAAATTATGAGCTACAATATAATTAAGACAAAACAAAGAAATATTTATGACAAATGAAATGAGTGCAGAATTAAAATCATGCGTAATTATTTAAGTCAGGTGACATTGTTCACACAACTTGATCAGAAAATGATTGCCTTCACTGTGTTCACAACTGTTTTTGTGTCTCTTTATGCTGACATAACTTACATTGTTGTACGAGAAAATAAGATGTGAACACATTGCGTCAACATAAAGGGGTTTTAAAG